ACGTACGGTCACGATATTCGGGACGTCGGGGGGGATCGTGAAAAGGACTCGGGATGACAAATTTGGGGGTCCAAGGTCACAGGACCTTGAGATCTTGTTTGGATAATCCGAAATTCGGATAATTCATGTTCGGATAACCGAGGTTTGACTGTAGATGCTAAAATATCATTGTATTTGTGTAGGCAAGAAGCAGGATGTGCTAATTGGTGCAGGTGAACGCGGCACTCGAGTGAACGGTCACCAGTCGGACTCTGATTCTGAGACAGACTACTGTGATACACAATCCGAGCCGGCAGCAGAACAAGATTGTCATCCTCCTCATCAGGAGCAGCAGCAGGTACTGAGTCATGGTAACCATAGCAACTGATGTGAAAAACGAGCCTTTGCTGCGTAGGTAGATTTGTTTGACTGCTGTGTTGTTTTCTACGGTCTGGTCGTTGCACTGAACGTTCAATGAATATTGCTAGTTGTTTAGATATAGATTTGAGAAACAGCTAGTTTCCCTGTACCATGTAGAATAATCTTTACTGCACAGACACTATATAAAAAGTCATTGAGTTCATTTTATTGCCTGTACTGGGCCTCTGCCTTTGCTTTAACAAATAACTCACCTCTACCTTCCTGCCCGTACCTTGAACCAGGCCTTACTTTGATTCCGAAACTGTATAATGTCTTTCCAGGTCCTGACGAAAGCTTGTTTGGCAAGTTATGAAAATCGTAATGGTGCAATCCGTCCAAATGGAGTGGAATTGATGCCGAACGAGAAGCATTGCAAAAACAATTCAGAGAGCGACGTTTGGAGTAAGCTAAGCAAAAGTAGAGCAATTGATTCTCCTGCGGTGGTGGTGCCAACTAAATCTTTAAATGGCAACGCATTAAGTGTGGGTTCAAGTGCGAGAACGTTTGTGCCTAGCATGCATCTGAGTGGAAAGGAACAGGATCAAGATTGTTTATCGTCATCGGGCGATGATCTTTCAAGTGACTCTTCTGTGGCGTCTAGCATGTCGAATTCCATAGGTAAGTGTGTGCATTGTTTATTCATGTGTGCATTGATGTGTGCGTGCGGGCGGGTACGCGCGTGCGTGTGTGTGAATGTATGACATTACGTAATACAAAAAACCTTGTATATACCCTATTGCGACGTTCGATCATTTGGCCACCTGACTATAATGGGATATTCGACTTGATCGTGTTTATGTTTTAAATAATTCCTCCCATTGATTTTATAATACTTGTTATTCTCAGCCATGCCATTTGCCATATGGAGGAATTATCACTCGTATCTGACCACGTGCACTAGTATTAAAACTGTAATATGATCAGGTCTGATCCTAATCTGATATTGTCGTCCTGATATCGTTATATTCGTATATATGTGTATCAGATGGCAGAAGGGCTCGTGCCGTGGATGTTCGACCGTATACGGCGCGTGGTGGGAGGAATGAGGGTGATGACAGCAGATGGAGGCGGGGAACCGGAACGGGAGCCCAAAGCTCCGGGCAAGGTCAGCTATGACACATCTTATGTAGTGTAGTACAACATCGCAGTGGTGGCTAACAACTGCACGTTTAATCATCGAATCAATCTCACGTGGCTTCCTGCCTCGCGCACTATCGCAGAAACGAAACCGGTGCAAGTGTTTCGTTATTTGTATTCGATTATTTAATGATTGAGTCGGCGGGTGGCAGATAGCCGAACGGCATGTTGATATATAGGTTAGCTGCGAATATCCAAATAAGCAGTCGCGGACCAAACTGTCGGGTACTGACAATAATCCTTAGTCTGCGAGGGCACATTGTCTAGGAGAAGGAAAACTCTGATTTCAAACCACCTGCTGCCTTGCAGAGTGTGCATTTTTAAGCAAAGGCTAGGGCCCACTATGCCGATAATAGTGGTTGGTGTTAGCAAGGACATGCAACCAGTAAAAATCTGCCATAAATACATGGAAAGTCAAGTTGATGATGTACGGTCGATGCAGCCGATCGAGGAAGGTGTAGATGAATCATCAACAGGGAGGTCAGCCCCTAGCTGACGTCTCAGCAAGGATCATCCGCGAGAGACTAGGTCAATGAAGAAGGAAGATTTAACGAGCGAGTACGTTGTCGTGTTTCAGAAACGCCTTCAGCACAGGGTACAAGCCACGCCGGAGAAGCCACAACAGTCCCCTCATCTTCGTCCGGGGCAGGAGGCGACGGAGGGCGAGGCTCGCGGGGTATGTAATGGTGTATCCCTCAAGTGGAGAGAGCGGACCGGGTCGGAAAGCCGCTCTTGTGAAATATGCGTGCATTAGCGACCGTTCTTCTATTTTTCATTCGGCGCTGTCAGTATTACGAGTGTCTCATGTTGCCCGTGGGGCTTTGGAGATGTGATGTCGACGCCATACAATACTACTACTACTATAGCGACTACCACTACCACTAATTGCCACGTGTTAGGTGCGGGCCGGACACAGGAGGATGTCGGTGAACAAATAGCGCTGACGCTGATCAGGCTGCAGCAGGACATGGAGAACGTGCTGGCGCGTCTCAGTGCGCTGGAAACGCTCAGCATCACACAGCACAACTACCTGATGCACGCCAACAACCACCAGAGTGCGGGAGCGCGGCAGCCGCAGGTGAGGTGGTGGCGGTCGGCTCCGATCGCGTGCGGCGTCGTAGTTCAGATGTACTGACATATATATAGTTATATATGGTTATATATATATATCATATATAGTTATATATGGATTTATATATAGTTATATATAGTTATATATGGTTATATATATAACTATAGTTATATATAATTATACATGGTTATATATATCTATAGTTATATATGGTTATATATAGTTTATATATGTGTTATAATATATAGGATTATATAGTTGGTATATGCTGTTAGAGGAGTATGGAGCCAAGTACTGCCTGTGTCGTCACTGAGCGTTGTGTGTTTATTTTGTCAACAGGGTTCGCTGTGGTCGTGGCTTTTTCCGCGGTTACCGGCGAGGACGGTTGTGTTTATGGTCGGCTGGCCCTTCGCTGCTTTCATGCTACTCAAGTTCATTCGGAGTCGGCAGAGAGTAAGGAGGTGAGACGCGGTTACGAGCAGTCCCGGTAATGATTCCGAAAACCAAGCCAGTCCAGAATTCTAACATTTTGATTTGTACGATATGGCCTATAATAAAATCGAGTAAAATTAGCCAGTGTTACCCAAAAGTTACCAGTCCCAGGCTGGGGCACAGGCTGCTATTTTTAACATTGTTATAAATATGGGTGCGCATGATTTTGGATAAGGCCAGTGCAGCCCTAGTTGTGAGTTGGTGTTTAATTCATGTTCACTTTATCAGATCCACTGAAAATTACTCTTTGATTTGTCAAAAAGCCCGACTAAGCATCAATTATTTGACGAGGCGTCTATAGTAGTAGCATTACATTATTCAACAATAATTATACTCTACTATTGGATTTCGTATGTAAGCTTAAACCTTACATTGTCTTTACAGACTGATGTGGGAATAGTTTTGTGCCAAACAGAGAAATGGGAAGAGATGAAGACGCCAGCCAATAACTGTGTTTTGCTGTACGGAAGTCAAATTTCGGCCATGCGATGTCAGCAAACTTAAATTATAAGTTTAATATTTCTTTGTCATCACGTTGGTACGGGTGTTAGTATGCTAAAATGTCTGCGAATAGTGAACTTGTTTGAAACACATGAATGGTTTACTTACAAATCATTTAGTAAGGAGTTACGTTAATGTAGAATGTAAAGTTACGTTAATGTAGAATGTAAAGTTACGTTAATGTAGAATGTAAAGGTTGTTGTGAGTTGTCATGATTAATGTCGTGCATGTTGCCAGTTGTTCGGTGATATTGGGTTTGAAATTGTTATTGCACGTAGACTTCATAGCCACATATGGAGAGTTGATCATGGGTTCACATTGTCAGTCATAGCATGGGCGTTTAGATTAGGCTTGTTGTTTTATGTTCATTGTGTTTCGTATACCTCCTAGTTGCTGCGCAGGCTAGAAAGTGTGATTTTCCCCTGTCACGATTGTATATGCTGTTTCATGTAACTTTTGAGATGATGTTATGGTGATCCACTATTTTAATTGTTAAAGATTTGTATAAATTTGTCGATATAGTTGTATATAATGTACCATTAAATCAAAATGCACATAAAAGAGTATTGTAAATAATTTCTGGTTGCAAGGTACAGTATTACAAACAAAGTATAATTGCCCCTATTATTTCTAAATAGATGTAGCAGAAGAGACAAGTAATTTTATGTAGTATATTGTAAGTAGTTTTTATGTCTAGTCTGCCTGGTTTATTTATTCAATCATAGCCTGAGGGGCACAAAGTTATGAAAAGATAAATTTCATCTTGTCAGTTATTTATGGTGAGGAAGAGAATAAAAGACATTCCAACTGATACTTCAGTCCCTATTTTGTTTTATTTCAGTTTCAACTGACCGATAACAAACTTCTTTGCACAGATTCTTCCAACCTTCTCCCAAGTTTCCCACTCATCTCTTTGATAATGATAAATCAGACCAGACAGAACAAGTGGCATCTTTATTTACTTTTTAACTTTTGGACAATATTACCTGTCCAGTTTCTGAACATAAAAATCGCAAGTAATATTTAATTAAGTCGCATACATTTGTTAAAATCCAACCATAACCAGGATTACCCAAATTCTCTTCATATTAACCATCCGTTAGCCAGAACCAGATGGCAATAGTCTCTTATCAACTATATCTCGTTATTAAATACAGTTACACACACAGCTCATACTACGTGCTCAGTCTTTCCTAGCAAACAGCCATAAGGTTTTGTTCTGTACACATATCGCTCAACAGCCAGCATCTGTTCATAAACGTCTACCTCCTGTCCGTCTTGCCCATCTTTCTCTTGCCGGAAAACAGGTGTTTCGGCATCTTGGCAGGAATGTAGCGGTCCGACTCACTGGCTTTGCCGAACCTGTTCATCTTGCGTTGCGAGATATTTGCAAGCCGCTTGGCCTGCTTCTTCATCTACAAAAGAGTTATTGACATAGAAAAGTAAACAGAGATGTCAAGCATGGCCACTCCTTAATCCAATGCAACGATACGTGCATACAGGCATGGATAACACTCGTAAAATAAGTGCGTGTCACGATGTAACTCTAACTGTCAACTGTTGCATTTACCCAAAATGAAATAGATTACGAATGACATGATGTGGAATTGTACAGAAGGGACTGACAGTTGTGGGGGTTTCAGATGCCACCACAACTGCTAATTATCTTCTGTCATCATTCTTGCACGTCCAATAATACAGAAGCATACTGACAATGTCCCCGCATATCGAATGTGCATATAGCATGCTGAAATATACCATCACAGCCTCAAACACACACGGAATACCAACCACCCTCAACATACTAGTGCTGATGGTTTAGAAATGAAAACGACATTCTTGGATTAGATTCCGAAATCCACCACTGACACGCCACCGAGACACGACAGCATGGCCGAAAACTTGCGAATATGAATAGCAAACAGATGCAGATATGCAGACTACACAGACTCTCACCTCGGGTCTCACACCGGACTGGTCCCTCGGCACACGAGAACTACTTCGCACACGACCTTCCACGTCTGTCCGCTGCTTTTTCACCGGAGGTCGAGACTCTGACCTCAAACGACCTTCCTGTGCGGACGTCTTGTAGTGAGACTGCAAGGAAGCAAATACGTGCTGGTAAGACACGGAAACTAGGCATCACTACGTATGTAACGTTAAGTTTACCTCTTGTCCGTATTAACATATTGTTATTATTCATCTCAAATTTCAGAATGCCCAGCACACAACTTTTCGAAAATGTTACACCATATAGTTATGCACTTAGTATCTGTGATGCATTGCAAGATAGTAAAGAGTGTGAAAAACCACTTTGACATCTTTTTTTACCTACATAACAAAACCTACGAATTTACTGTATATGATAACCTAAACCAATACTACCATCCTAACGCTGGTTTTACACTACCGACTTTATGTTGGCAAATTGGCGAGTTGGACGAACTTTCTAATTCGCCAACTCCGAGTTGGCGAAACTAGTTCTAAAAATGTTCTAATCTCCCAACTAGTTGCTATCGATCGGTTGGTCGTGCAACTTTTGCGTTTACACTGCCGATTGTCGGTTGTATAGTTGGGAAGTTGGTCCAATTCACCAATTCGCCAAGACAAAGTTGGTAGTGTAAACCCAGCTTAATGGTCAGAAAGTGGCATACCGAATTCTTGCCAGTCATGTTAACACCAAGCTCGGTCATTTCTGACTCCAGCCTAGACGCACTTCGACCGCGCTTCAGCGCCGTGCGCGGCATCTTTATCTTCTTGTTTTTCTCCGCAGCTTCCAGCTTCATGATGCCTCTCTTTTCACGTATTCTGAAAATAACACCACACGCGTTACATTCCACAACGACAATGGAAGAAGCAGGAGAGACAATAACGCTTGCTACAGCATGTAAAAATCTAAAGATATTCGGCAAATGTGACACACATTTTTAATAATAAGTTTGTTCAGGTACAGATTCCTCAAAGGAAATAATTATCTAGATCGGAACCGCTACAAATTATTCTATCGTGCTCAGGTTCGGGAAAATGTTTGCATCATAGTTGTGAACTCAATATCCATAACGTCATCACAGGACGACTCTGTAGCTACAACTACATATATATATACGTTTAAAAACCACCTTAAAAATGTCCACACAGAAAATCGGTTCAATGCTATAGTTTTTAGATAACCAAATATACCTTCCAAACAACCAGTGAAGATGCAGTATTGCTGCGGTAGAAAAAACGTGGTTACCTCGTTAGCCACGCACGTGACTAGCTCGTTAGTCACGCACGTGACTAGCTCGTTAGTCATGCACGTGGCTAGCTCGTTAGTCATGCACGTGGCTACCTCGTTAGTCACGCGGAAGGTGCAACTACACAATTCACAGCACCGTTTCCCAAAATCTTACTTGGCAGCCATCTCGTGGATCTCCTTCATGTCTTCATCGTCACTGGATATGTCCTCGTCATAGGCTCCAGTCGTCTCTCGCAGACCCTCCTCCTCCTCCAGCTTCTCCAACCTCTGCACAACGAGAAACCATGCATTAATATCAAAACTGTATCTTCACTCACAACGGCAGTCTTTTAACGACAATTCAAAAATGTTGTGACGAAAGCCATACCCACGCTCGGACTTCCAAGTAGCTGTTGGTGATTCTATCGTCCTCAGCTTCGGGAAAATTGTTGCATCACAGTGATGCACTCAGCATCCGTCAATTCATCACAGGACGACGCTTTGCAGATATAAGAGATCTTAATATTCGACGGACACTCAGTGGCATGTAGAATAGTTTGTGATCACTATCTAGTAGTCCATCCTTACCTGCAATATGTCTGGGTCAACAAAGTCTGCGATGTTTTTGCCCTCCCAGATTTCAGGTACGACGTCATAGCGTTCATCCGGATTGCGTAGATCGTAATGTTCTGAAAGAGCACAGAGTACAAACATCACGCAACAATATCACGAGAGCCAACATGGAACAATCCAACCGAACGCCATACGGCGACGGAAAAGCCATACGGCTACCGAAAAGCCATAAGGCTACTGAAAAGCCATACGGCAACGGAAAAGCCATAAAGCTACCGAAAAGCCATACGACTACTAAAAAGCCATACGGCTACCGAAAAGCCATACGGCTACCGAAAAGCCATACGACTACCGAAAAGCCATACGGCTACTGAAAAGCCATACGAAGGGTTCAACATTAACTTTTTATTTCACTAGACCATCGGGCTAGTAACTGAGGAAAACCACTAGCCCTGACCTAACTTTCACTAGCCCAGACCCAGACCATTGTTATGAAAAACTTTATTTAGATAAGAGTGTGTCATCGTATTAATTCATAGATGCTGTTTCCCACGCTTTAAATCGCGTGTGGGCCGAGTTCACGTGCAGCATTCGTATTCTACCACGGGCATACATGAGCGCACGGTTTATCGATCGTCTACTGCGGCTGGCAGCAAGCCACGTTACTGTTTTTTCCGAAGGGTAGACTGGTATCCGGCCTCACGCTCTGCTAGACAATGTATACGCTCTGCGACAAACAGTGCGGCCTCGAACCAGTCTAGCCAGAGGTGACCTTTCAGTGCAATATATATGACCAATTCTAACACGACCAGTCGGGCTACTAGCACTCTGGTTGTATGCGACCGGACCAAGCATTTACCCGACTAAGTCGGTCGGACGTGGGTTAGTGTCGAACCCTGCCATACGGCTACTGAAAAGCTATACGGCTACTGATAAGCCATACGGCTACCTAAAAGCCATACGGCTACCGAAAAGCCACACGGCTACTGAAAAGGGATCTACTCAAATGAATTCATTGCATACTCTTCAAGTCCAAGATGTAGTCGTCGCCAAGCTCAACTTCCAAGTCCCTCTCCAATTTCTTCTTTGGCTTCGCGCCAGCATCACCCGTCTCCATCAGTTTCTTCTTCTGCAGGACCTTTTCGGGAATGAAAGGCGGCCGGTCCTGTCGTGAAGTCAAAATATATGATATGAGCAATTATTTTTGATCGAGTGATTATGTTACCTGAGCAATTAACTGAGGTTGGAGACATGCTTATCTATGTATCTGTACCTTTGTGTATAATATCTGTATATCTATAATATCACTATCCTCGTGTATAATATCTGTATATCTATAATATCAGGAGTAAGATAATATAGAGGAGTATGACTCTCCAAAACATGTGAATTTCAACATTTGCTTGCCTAATTTTACCGATGATATATTACGTGCAACTCGATAAAAATTACATCTAAATGAGCGTTGGACATCCGTCTCTAACTAAAACTTTACTTTGTTTAAATACCTCTTGCCTTTACGGAGATATAGCTTTGAACGTCACACATGGTTCATAGTGTTTAACTAAGCTGGCGGCTCAGATTGCCCAGACTTCCGAACTAGCTTCCGAACAGTGGCTAGCCTGTGAGGAATGGTCTTGTCTGTTGACAAGAATGCCACCTGTTGGCGGCAGGAGTAAGATAATATATGACATTATATAATATAAGATAATATAGTATATGTGTGTATATATATAGTGTGTATATATGTGTGTATATATATATACGTGTATATATTACATATATATAGGATAATATATACTAGTGTGTATGATATAATATAGAATATAATATAGAAGTCTAATATTATCTACTCCTGCGCCAACAGGTGGCATTCTTGTCAACAGACAGACCATTCCTCACAGGCTAGCCACTGTTCGGATGCTATCTGGGCAATCTGAGCCGCGCTTAGTTACACTATGAAGCCATGTGATGACGTTCAAAGCTAATCTCCGTAAAGGCGAAGAGGTATTTAAACAAGTAAAGTTTTTAGTTAGAGACGGATGTCCGCTCATGTAGGATGTAATTTTTTAATCGAGTTGCAGCTAATAATATACATCGCTAAAATTAAGGCAAGCAAATTTGAAAATTCACATGTTTTGGAGAGTCAATACTCCTGCATATTATTTATCTCTAGCTCCTGATAATATCACTATCCTCGTGTATAATATCTGTATATATATAATATCTGTACCTTTGTGTCTCGCTGCTGTGGCATGGCAACGTGGAGACGATTCAACACGTCGTTGATCTTTCTTCCCTTCAGCTTCACCTCTACCGCTGGGCCCAGCAGTCGGTCACACGCCTGCAAAGCGCAACTATATCAAATACGCGATTCTTCACAGGAAAAGTCAAAACTGCAACTTCACTCCTGAGCAACTTTATGCCGAGGGCTGTTTTCTAAAGGCTTTTAAAAACATTTCGTTAGTATTTATCGATGCTTCGATCTCGAGCGGCTACCAGTAATTCTATTGTCATTGCTGGCCACTCATAGATATTACAAACAGGCTGCAGAGCGCACAGCGACTCATCTAACGTCTACGTCGGTGACTCTGTGGTGGAGTGGTGGGATTCTAAGTAAACGGCGCTGTTGTCACAAATGTGTTTCAGCATACACGCCGACAGCTGCCACCTGTAACTAATTAAGCGAGGCAAAAAACTACACAGTAACCACTAGCACATGCACTGGCACTGGCAGTGGCCACTGGCAGTGGCATTACATTACTCATGTAACAACACTGACCGTAGAGAATGGCCATAGAAAATTATAATACGATTTAAAAGGAGCATAAACCTTCTTCAACCAAATTTAGCTTTTTTGAAATTTCAGTGTGACATTGGTAGCCTGCATACATCAGGCATGTATACGATTCTACTGAGCAAAAACCCGGCAGTCAAATTCCTTTCTAAACAGTAAAAGAAATCCATGTTTACAACCGCCTCTTGAGGTCAAAAGGTTATCCGACAGTTTACGTCTTCGCAATGTCAGCAAGAAAATTACATTTCATGGTCCTTTCAATAAAGCGCATAAAAATGCTAGGTCACCGCTGAAACAAAAAAGTTTTTCAAAGTGGCGCTCGTGCAGACCATGTCCCTCAGAAAATGTCTAAAATGCCTGCCCTGTGTCGCATCTGACCTTTGACCTGTGACCTCCAATTTCGGCAACAGTGATGGCTTTTCCTACCATGATGCGTACACAGACTATCACGAGCCTAGGTCGAGTCGTTAGTATTTGTGCGCAATTCTGCATTTCCTCCACTATAACCTTAAGTTAAGGATGGAATGTTCCCCCGTCTTTTACACCTCTTGACCTTTGACCTTTGACCCCCAGCTTCGACATCCCAACTCGTTTTCGGATTACCCCCCCACGTCCCGACTTTCGAATCCGTACGTCGAGCATTTAGATTTGTGCCCAACTGTTGACGGACGCACGCACGCACAGACGGATGCACGCTCATGCGATTCTACAAGCTGCATCTGACTATGTCAGATGAGCTAAAAAGTATCAAAATTGCCTTAAAAAAGTATAAATTTGTATCAACCTACCATGATTTGTTACCTTATACCTTATTACCGAATACATTATAGCCTATGTGCAGCATGTAAACAATGAGGAATGTTGTGTGCAATGTCATGAGGAGTTGTCTCTTGAATTCTCAGTTTGGAATATTTCAATGCTGTGTTTCCCTTGGTCAGAAAGGTCTGTAAGGCAGTTAATTTTTTGGTGGTGTGTTTGTGTGTTTCGAGGTCCTAGCACAGTGAGCAGTGCATGTGCTTGGCCACCTAGGGGGGTCCGGGAACATGCTCCCACGGGAAATTTTAGAAAAAATGGTGCAATTTGCTGCATTCTAAGCTATTCTGGACACATTGTATGACTCTTGAATCTCGTTTTCAAGTTATCACAAGTTTCGTCAGCGAGGCGGTGTTTTGGACAAATTTCTGTGTGGCGGTTGAGAATTTGAGCAATGCAGCCCGCCTTGCTCATGCCAATGCAGGGGAAACACTGCAACGGTCTGTCATTTGGTCACTGACGGCAGAGAGCTGAGAGCAAAAACACTCCACTGAACAGAGCACACATCACTCCTGCATCAAGACTAGCAAAGCACATCTTTAATCTCATCAAATACAGTGTACCTAAATGTAAGTCCGAAGAGTTTTGACCATCTTTGGCCAAAAAAAAGTATTTAAAAGTATTTATGCATGAAAAAAGTATAATACTTTAAAAAAGTATAAAGTGGCAGCACTGTATTATCCTCAGAGTTTCAAAAAGTATTGCATCTCACAGTTGTGCACTCAATAACCGTAGACTCATCACAGAACAGTGCTATCTAGATAAAACTACTAGGGATGTTTTTAGAAAATGTGCATAGGAAATGTACGAACAAGAAATTGATCACAATAGAAAATGCACCAATAACAAAAGGCGCAGTCTTTTCATATTTATCAAAGTTGTGGAAAAACGAGCAACACATACAACTATCCAGAACCTACCTCTGTTTTTACTTCGATGACACCTTCTTCCGTGAGGGTGCTCATAGTTAACACAGGGACGTCATCCTCCCTAAACCGATCAAAAGTTGCCTGAAAGGTAAAATACAAAGCTATGCAATAGCTTGCATTTTCCCATAAACTATAAAAAAACCGTCACAATAACAATCATTACTAGCTTATAGGTATATTGCATTAAGGAGCTCGTGTTATCAACAAGCATTTAGAGTTGGAAATATTTTTTGCATTTTTGTGTGTAAAAGGGAGCAGTCCTGAGCAATCTATTAAAACATACAGTCTGCAATTAATGGCAACAATATGTTATATTGTTTGTGATTTTAAAATAAGTAGTGCAAATGAATAACCTAGTTTTCCCTACATACCTTTTTTTCTTCTGACAATTCTTCTGGTCTCACAACATCGACTTTATTGGCAACAACTATGACAGGCTTATTTGCAAATAATGGCTTGATATTCATAAATAGTTCCACCTGGAAGTAAAAGAATAGAACGCTAACTAGTGTTCAACATACTACACTACGCCAAGTATTAAAACCATGGAAATAACCCATCGTGCTGTAACATATCGTCTGATTCAGCTATTTTACGATAACAATAACCAAGAACAAATAACAATATAGGCCATAGCTAAACTGGAGGCATCAGGGTTAAAAAGCTCATACAACGAAAACATCAGCTAATGTTCAGAGTTGGATCGAGTTTCATCATGTGCGCTCCAGTCAGCCAAAAATACGACCCCAGAACCGCTCGTCCGTGCCGAAATTTAATCGCGGGTTTAAAGGGTGGACGGACGCTGTACCTGCTCCTCTAGTGACTTTCCGCACTGCTCTGATAAGTCCACGACGTACAGCACAGCGCAGCGCAGGTGGGCCAGCGCTGTCACTGCTTGCATTTCTATCGTGTTCCTCTCCTCCAACGGGTGGTCGAGAATTCCAGGCGTGTCCAACACCTAGAAACACACAAACCAGGGTGTTAGCTTGGACAAAAAACCAGGAAGTGTCACCATCTGAGCGAAGCGAGGGGGAAACACCGACGATTTTATTTTCATGTAGGGGTAAAATTGTACCGCCCTTATGCCGTCTCTATCAAATTTCATCCGTCTCATCCAAGAACAAGCCGTCCAAAATACGGGTAGCCGGGTAACACACTGACACAAACGCATCGCCGACTATTACAATCTGTCGGACGCTTACCGGCACGCGAAAAGGCACGTGACTCCCGTCCTAACTGCTCGTCGACAACATCTGCGAAGCCATATTACTCACATTATTTATATACTGCCTTTCCATCCATGCACTACTTACTTGCCACCTCAGGTACTTGTAGTCGGTGTGTCCAACAAACAGCGATTTAGTCGTGAATGCGTATGGCTGGACCTCAACGTCGGCTCTCGTTATCTTGAAGAAAATTCAAATTTAGCATCGAACTAATTAAAACTGGCCGATAAAGCAATACGGAATAGAAAAGATGCGAACGATTTTACCGGCACTGCTTGTGGGTACGTGCTTACCTTGTTAATGAAGCTGGACTTGCCGACGTTTGGGAAACCACAGATCAGGAGAGTTCTTGTGTTAGGGTCGATGGAGGGAAGCCTTGAAAGATGCTGCCTCACCTGCTCCAGGTATTCTAAGCTCTGCTTTTGCCTCTTCATCACAGTGCACATCCTGCATCCAGACAGAGATACCAGTGCACGATTACACAAGAGCCAAACTTTCAAGATGAAGTTGAAACACGAATGAATGCTAAATCTGTTAAAACTAATCATATCGGAGTGAGATTTCACTGCCATACCTGCCAAGTGCTGCTTTCTTCAACATCTTACACCTATAGAGTGAATCTCCATACTTCAGTAGACGAACGTAGTCCTTCGCAACACTAAAACCAAATCACATTGTCCATATTAACTATACAAATAATTGCAATTTTGTGACTTTCATAGCCAAAGCCATTGGGGAAGGTGGTGTAGTTCCTCCTTCGCAAACCAACTGCAGTTAGTATTATTTAAGTATTATTAACAGGGTAAAAAATACACGGGAGCGATTCGTGATTCGCTCTTCAAACCTCCGAAATCGCTCCCGTAAAATTTATATATATATATAAATGATGAGAGCTATTTTTCCCACAGAATTTTGAAAAAGAGATCCCGTGAAAAAAAAGTTGATTTTTACCCTGATTACTAACGAATATTTTAACATGTTTCTAGAACTTCTAGCTTAATACCTTTATGCTTGCATGCCTGCAGGCACACGCACACAGGCACGCACACACACACACACCGAGGGTCGCATGCACGCATGACCACACGCTTGCACAGCGCGAGATTGCAGTACAAAAGACAAGTTTACTTTAGGTAGTTTTCAAACCACAGCTAACAATATCTATCAGTGAGATTCTAAAAATTTTTTCAATACGTACTTATCAATAAGATGACGCGCAGTATTAATTTGTCCAAGTGCTAACTTGTAATGGTCTTTATCATATAACACATTGATCAAGTCAGCATAGAAAGGATGAATATCCTGAAAGATAAATGAAAGCAATATAGTATCACACGGATAGCAGCCAATTAAACACCCAAAATGGCACCTAAACTGAATTTGATGTATGCTAGAAAAATGGACATCTTGTATCGATTATAAGTACATTATATATTATTGTATCGGTTACTAATTGAAAGATTAATTGAAAATCCACTGCATTTATCAGTTGTTTATAATTATAATCGCAATCACCATAAATAGTGTAACAGATATCTGCCAATTGCATTTGTGCATGCACGCTAGGCCACACTCACATCGGTTCATCAGTCGGGTCACAATTAATATACACCGCACAAATCTTATATATCCTTAGCTGCTACCCCTTATAATATTGTCACTTGATCAGTATTGTGATCCCATGCAGTACTGACCTCTAGTTTTGGGAAGTCCGTCAGAAGTTTCGTTAACTTATCATGAAAGTTTTGCTGTGTATATCTGATTTTTCTCATGTAGAATTGTCGTATTCGTGAAATCTTGTAGTTCTTGTGAATGACAGTCGGAGTTTTCCGCTGAGTCTTTGATAAAATTACGTCGACACATTCCTGATAACGAAAATTATTGTTAATATACGCGTGTTCATATCAGACCTGTTAATAAAAGTAGTAATACTACTATACTGTAGTGTACGTGGGTTAGGTCAAAAACGTGGATATTCGTCCGAGCATCGGACACCTGTTCGTATGCGCTATTCGTCCGAGCAGTTGTCGCGCATGCGTTGTTCATGTTGTATTACATAAATGTAATGTAATGCTAGTTTAGGGAGGCACCTACTCCCTAACCCTAGCCGTAATCCTAATACCAACACTAACACTAACTATAAACCGACTCGGTTCGCTTATATACACGAGTGATAGTACCAAACACTATCTATGGTGTATGACCACATACGCAACGCATGTATGCAGGGGCGTCAAAGCCGTAGGGCTGCCGTAGCAAAACGCTACGGGCACCCAGCCTAAAGGGCTAAAAATCATAAATCTAAAGGGTAAATAGCATTTTAGAGCGTCTACATTTATAAATTGTCTGGGGGGGAGATCCCCCCAGGCCCCCCCTCCCTTCACACTTCCTACCTCCGCAGGGTTCTCCCCAGGATGAAATTCAAACAGGGGGGAGGGGAGGGGAAGGGGGAGGGGGGAAACTAGGGGGATCGGGAGGCGTGTTTTTTACCGTACCACTAATTAATGCGTAAAATCACCACCACACCATAGACGGTATTTGGGGTTCTTGTATATATAAGATAGCCGAGTCGGTGTACAGTTAGCAGTGCTCAATTTTAAGGTTTTTTTGGGGTTGTCCGCAGGACAACCAAGAGAGTAGCATATGGTTGTCCCTCAAGAGTTTTGGTTGTCTGGATATTATTTAAACATGTGCTGCATGCGCTCTGCTCACGTGATGCTCAGTGCTGTAAAGCAAAAGGCCTAATCATGTACATTTTGTACGTATTGCAGTGACAGCAGACATGGCCATTCGCATTGTTTCACTCATTATATGAAGAGAATAAAATATTGGTAATGTGGTAAATGATGCTGGCAGCTGGGATCAATGACGTATAATAATAGTAATTAAAAGTTGCATGAAATTTATTTCATAACATTTAAGTTAACATTAAGTTAACATTAAGTTAACATTAAGTTAACACTACTAACATTACCTAACATTACTATAACATAACATTACCTACACTGTGTCAAGTCACAGATGAGTTAAAATTGAAAATTAACACGAAACATTGTGTTGTTAAACACGTGATGTTATACTTTGTATCAAGCAAGCCAGACAATGCGTCTAGACATGTACGTTTGCAGCGTACGTATTGTGCAACCCTGGCCGTATGTAAAATGAACGCTCGCATTATGAATATATAATTTTTATAGAGGTTGGACACCGGACAACCACGGAAGCAATTTGTAGTTGCCCGAGAGAAAATCCAGTCGTCACGGACGACCGGACGACTGTTAAAATTGAGCCCTGGTTAGTGTTGGGTGTGGGACAGGTTAACTGTTTGTACTTGTGTATTGTGTGCAGTGCATGCGTGGCACGGTAAAAATACACTCGCCGGGTGTCCTGGTCGAATGGGAATTCTTGACGATCGATTCCCGCGCTGGCAAACTTTTATTGTGGTGGAATTTAATCGGGGCGGAGGTAATTTAAACGGGGCGCAACGATTGAAACAGGGGGGAGTTCTCCCAAACGGGGCGCGCGCGCCCCGTTTGCGCAATGTAGGTAGATACAATTAGAGTCCCTATATACAGAGAGTTGCGCCATGACGAGTCGGAAAAAATCGGTCACGTGATCGCTGCCGGCATGTTGTTTCCAAATGGATCAACACCGCTGCCGCTTAAGTACAGCGCTGTATGGATACGCTGTACAATGGTCCATAGTAATTAATTAGACTAATCGTGCTTCAATAAACTCAAGATTTACAGAGATTATATAGCTAAGACATGTGTCTATGTGTAGCTAGATTTATAGCTGCGAGCGAGTGGAGAGTGGAACGCATTTATCTTGTGAATTACAGTTGTCATTATTCTTCCAAAATGACTAGCTGCTGTGTTTACACTAAGAAAGTGTACAATTAAGCTATCATATGGCGCGAACGATTTGAGTTACTTTTCTAGAAATCTAGATACATATAAACACATGTTATCTATGATCTCTGTGATTCTTGAGTTTATTGAAGCGCGAGTGGTTTAATTAATTAGCAAGTGTCTACGCGCGGTATCGCACAGGCTAATATACGCACGTACGGCTATTGGGCGGTAAGAAAGTGTACAATTAAACTATCATATGGCGCGAACGATTTGAGTTACATTTCTATAAATCTAGCTACACATAGACACATGTCTTAGCTATAATCTCTGTAAATTTTGAGTTTATTGAAGCACGATTAGTCTAATTAATTACTACGGACCATTGTACAGCGTATCCATACAGCGCTGTACTTAAGCGACAGCGGTGTTGATGCATTTGGAAACAACATGGCGTCAAATCCTGAGTTGGCGCAACTCTCTGTATATAGGGACTCTAGATACAATAATGTAACCCAAACCCAAGAGGATATAGGGTCCCCTAGATACAATAATGTAACCCAAACCCAAGAGGATAGGGTTACAAAGCCTCCCTATCCTTTTGTGCGGAGGAATGCCCGAGTGAATCACTCGGGCCGGTTTGCTGGTGCGTTTTCAGAGACGAGATCTTCCAAACTGGGTTTATTCTCAACACGAACCTTTCTCCGCTATCTGGGAACTTACTANAGCGTCAGACGCGCGATGGGGCCGATCGCTTGAATTGAGACGTCGTCGCGGCAGGGAAAAAACAAGAGAACGTCAGACGCGCGATAATTCATTGTTTCATCTCAATCATTGTGCGCGACGAGAAAAACAAGAGAGCGTCAAATGCCCACTAACTGAGTTTTTTTTGTGAAGGCTACTATCTCGCGCATACAAACAAAACAAGTGAGCGTTCAAGACCGATATTTTTCAATGCGGAATATCGAGCACGTCACAAAAACAAGTGAACATTACATGCCGAACACTAATCTTTTCAAATTCACGATATCCTGCGCATCGGACGAAACAAGTGAACATTACAACCATCTTTTTAAATTCACGATATTCAGCGCGTCGGGCAAAACAAGTGAACGTTGAATGATTTTCTCCGCTCGACGCAAAATTCCAGCCCTCGAGTCTCGACTCTTGAGACGTCGTGATGTCATCGATAACGTGCGAGACAATGTCGGCGAGATGAATCGAGACACTCGAGGCAAGTATCAGCGTCTCGCGATATTCACGATCGAATCGAATTCGAAATCTAGGCGCGAGGCGAGGATAATGAGATGTTCTATTGTTAGCATGAGAATTTCTTCGTAATTATTGACGTAGAAAAGTTTTGATGAATGTCAAATGATATGCGTGTGTGTGTGTGTGTGTGTGTGTGTGTGTGTGTGATGTGTGTGTGTGTGTGTGTGTGTGTGTGTGTGTGGTGGTGTGTGTGTGTGTTCTGTTGTGTCGGGGTGCGTGTCTCGCCGTTTTCATCTCTGTCATGACTCTCTTCCGTCGCTCTCTCCTCTCTCTCTCTCTCTCTC